TAGTCTCTTTTTACTACCAACGAACCAAAAAGAAATTGAAACTACTATACGTGATATGAAAAATAAAGTAGGTGGTGTTGATGGGATTAACAGTAAAGTACTTAAAATTATTTCTAAAGATATGTCCTCCATTAGAACACATTTTTAATATCTGCATTAGCAATAGTTGTTGGCCGAAGGCTTTAAAAAGTGCAGATGTTGTACTTATCTATAAATCTGGTGACAAACACTTAACTACTAACTATAGACCCATATCATTGATATCAAATTTAGCTAAACTTTTTGAGAAACTCATACATGTTAGATTACTTAATTTTTGTTTGAAAAATAAATTAATTTCGGATAAACAGTTTGGATTCATGAAAAGCAGAGGTACATCAACTGACGCTCTAGCTTATACTTCTAATTACATTTACTCTAACTTAGATAAAAATTCTCCAACTGTTTTAGCCTTCATAGACTTGACCAAAGCTTTTGACACAGTCAATCATAAAATATTGATGGACAAACTTTGGAGGTATGGAATCAGGGGTATACCACATCAACTCTTAAAATCCTATCTACATAATAGATCACAAGTAGTTAAGTTAAATAATACTATGAGTGAAACTAGAATTGTTACTGTGGACGTTCCCCAAGGTACTGTCCTGGGGCACTTATTATTTTTAATAAATATCAATGATATTTTTAATGTATTACCGGATAATACCATAGTTTCTTATGCTGACGATACAGCTATATTATGCTCAGGAAAAAGCTGGCCCATAGTTAAGAATAAATTAATTGAATGGCTACATAAAATTGATTGGTGGCTTAGAGAGAATCAACTCTCTCTCAATATAGATAAGTCTACGTTTATAACTTTCGGGAGTTATAAAGATAGTTACCCAATAGATTTTGATACATATTAATAACAAGCCATTGAAAAAAGTTGAACATTGTAAATATCTTGGTATACACTTTGATAATCATATGAGATGGGACCAACATACTCTGGAATTATTCAAAAAACTTAAATATTTCACTTTTGTTTTTTACAAATTGGCAGGAATTTTAAATTCCCAAACTTTGAAAATAATATATCATGGGTTACTCGAAAGCATAATAAACTATGGTATTATTGCCTGGGGTGGAGCTTATGACAAGTCAACTAAAATTCTCTCAAATATGCAAAATAGATTAATAAGTAAATTGTGTGTAACTAATGTTAGCAGCACTCCCCTCGGGATTAGAAAAACTTTCATTGCCACTGCGTTATCTTTCTATTATCAAGATTGCTTAAACTTATATAATGATAAAATAACTTGTACAAGACATAAGCAATTGTCTCTCCCAAAGATAAGTAAACAATTCATACACAATGTGCTTACTATGTAGCAATGAAATATTTCAATAAATTACCATCTGAGATGAAAACTATGAATTATAGGAAGAAACTAATATATAAAAAACTGAGAGAATGGATAAAAATAGATAATTAGTTGAAAAACGTGATATTAACATAATGTTTAGAACAATATTATCTATACCCGGGAAAAAATGATTTTGCCTGATCATATATAATTATATATATATATATATATATATATATATATATATATATATATGTGACGGGTGGGCCTACCCTCCCGTCAACATTATGATAAATCATATGTATATTCTA